AGAGAGAGAGAGAGCCCCTCTCTCTCTCTCTCTCTCTCTCTCTCTCTCTCTCTCTCTCTCTCTCTCTCTCTCTCTCTGTGGGTGGCTGCACCACTCTCGAAATGTGCAAAACGAGAGTGAATCTTCGGCTAGAACAGGGAAAGATACACCGCCATAGTGACTGTGCTTTTTCTTTTTTCCATGTTTTTTTTTTTAATGGATTTCATCCCGTTTTTCTGTCTTTTCTATTTGCATTTTCTGTTTTTTTTTTTTTTTTCCCTCTTCTTTTTCCGTGTTTTTCTCCGAGTAGGTTTGGCAAGTTAGCGCCCGGTAGTTCGAGCCTCGGCAAGGCTCCGTATACCCGTAGGCCGAGGCTCCGACTTTATAGCTGGGCCAAGTACTGGTGGTTTAAGGGCCAGATCCCACTAGCCCCTATCGTTCATTTCTGACCGTTCATCTTCGTAATCGAGGGTGAAAATTTAATAATCCAGGGTAGTAGGATCTGACCCTAGCTGGAAACGTCGCGGCTTTTTTCTTCGTCTGGCCGATAACGAGCAGTGACTTGCGGGTGGCGAAGGAGCAGAACTGAATCGGCACAAGCCTACCGAGTCCCCAATTTGAGGGCCACAGAATCGGCAGCAGGGAGGAGATCGCCGGGGAAGGAGGAGAACTGAATTTTCAGACATTCAAGGGCTAATTCCGGAGAGGGAATTTGCCCATATTTGGCAGTGGAGCCCCCCATTGACAATTGATAAATGTCCTTCGGGACATCCGTTAAAATTGGAACGATACAGAGAAAAAAGATTAGCATGGCCCCTGCGCAAGGATGACACGCATAAATCGAGAAATGGTCCAAATTAAAAAAAAATAAAAAAAATAAAAATAAAAAAATGATAAATTAAATTAGAATTTAAATGTATAAAGTTAAGTAGGTGAATCACTCCTCTAATTAAAGGATCAAACTTCGAGGAGCTCATGGCGAGGCCCATCGTGGGGGTAGGGGGCGAAATCATTCAGAGCCGTGAAAAAAGCCAATTTCGCATTCACCTTTGGCCGTGAATTCCAATCGATCGCGTCTCCGAATGTCATTGTTTTAATCTTAATTTTTTGAGCCGTGAACGAGTCCTGATCACTTCCGCGAGCCCGTGCGAAACTGCTTATAAACCGTAAAACCATAACATAGCACTTCAGATATGTACAGAAATCAAAGGATGAGCATACCTTGTGTGAACGAACACAGTTCCCTAAACTTCAATCAACGACAAATTCGGATCAAATGAAATTCATAAGCTATGACAAGGGGAAAAACAAAAAAAAGTCCTTTACTCATACTCCTCTCTCTCTCTCTCTCTCTCTCTCTCTCTCTCTCTCTCTCTGTGTGTGTGTGTGTGTGTGTGTGTGTGTGTGTGTGTGTGTGTGTGTGCCCCTCTGCACAACCGCGTGCAGTACTCGTGAGCAGTCGTCAAGGTCGTGGGAAACGACGACTGGACGCAAAACGAGAAACGACAAGGGGGAGGAAACACAGCACTCTCTCCCATCCTTCTCCCCTACCGGTAGGCCTCGCCGCGCCTCCCCCGCCTCCCACCACCACCGTCACCACGACCGAACAAGATACATCTCTCTCTCTCTCTCTCTCTCTCTCTCTCTCTCTCTCTCTCTCTCTCTCTCTCTCTCTCTCT